CATCTCGTTTCCTTCCTCAAGGTCAAACCACCACCACCTCTTCCCCCCACCCCCTTCCGCCTTTTTTCTTTCCATGTTTCCCCGTTCTTCCTCTCCCTCGCTTATCTAGATCCCCTTTGATTCTTTCTGTGGGTGATGGGAGAAGGGATGTGAAGTGAAGAGACAGGATGTAGGTTATTATGGGACGCACGTAAGAGAAATATAAGACCTTGATGGACGAACAGAGAGATCTTCATCTTGATTTAAAACTCTACCGAGTAAAAAATAAATAAATATGTGTATATGTGTGTGTATATATGTGTGTGTATATATATAAATATATATATATAAATATATATATACACACACCCACGAATCCCTCTTGCTTTATTAAGGTGGGAGACATACATCCAATATGTATGTCCAATTACATCCAATTACTTTCCATTCTGTTCCATAGTAATGCTTTCAATTACTGCCCCAAATTAGCAGCTTTCAGAAACTTCATTTCCTACAGAAATGAAACAACGAACATACACGCAGAAGACAATCCTGACATACTCGAATGTACTGGCAAGCAGCTATTGCAAGATCCTATTTTATGTACCCAACGATCAGGGGTGAATTGTTTGTCGTTGTTGTTGTTGTTGTTGTTGTTGTTGTTGTTGTTGGTCTTCAAGTGGAGAACTTCAAATGTTGCTGAGAAATGCGAAGTCCTCCGTTCTTGTTTTTTGGTTAAAAGAATTTAAGCAAGAGACAAGCAACAACGAAGATACCATCTTAAGACAGTTTATTGCAAAAACGAAAATACACTGAAAGCTAAGTCAGAGCAGGCTGCTTGAAGGTGAGACGGCGCCAGCTGGCACTGGGGATACCCCCTTTTTGGGATTCTTTTTTAATTTTACTTTCATTTAAATTATTTATTTATTTATTTATTTTGAGACAGAATCCGGCTCTGGAGTGCAGTGGCGCGATCTCGGCTCACTGTAACCTCCGCCTGCCAGGCTCAAGTAATTCTCCTGCCGCAGCCTCCCGAGTAGCTGAGACTACTGGCAAGCGCCACTACACCCGGCTAATTTTTGTATTTTTAATACAGACGGGGTTTCACCACGTTGGCCAGACTAGTCTCCAACTCCTGGCCTTGTGATCCTCCCGCCTCGGCCTCCCAAAGTGCTGGGATTAGAGGAGTGAGCCACCGCGCCTGGCCGGGAGTCTTATATGTTTATTCAAAAAGTGGCAGGCAGGAGGAGGTGTTACTAGTAAGCATGTTTTGGGTGATCCTCTGGGTGCACATGCGCTGTGGCTATACATGCTAGTACATACATTGCATGTCTCATTAACATCTTAAATCTCCCTCCAGGGGTGTGTTTTTTACTATTATAATGAGCAAAAGGTTACTTCTGGAGCAAGCAAAACTGGAGCAAACCGTACTCCGCTTGCCTCCATGGCATGGAAAGTCCCTTGTGGAGTTGTTAGTTCCTGCTTGAGCCGGATAAGTTCAACTGCAAGAAGGGTCCAAGGACTCTTGAAGTCTCAGATGCGGATGATATGTCCCAACTGTCATGGCCCCCTTCCTAGGTGTGACAGATATGTAGGCCAACCTGGAGCCCACCTCCCTGTTCATATTTAACTTGTTTATTGTTATTATTTTGAGACAGAGTGTCGCTCTGTCGTTCAGGCGGTAGGGCAGTGGTGCGATCTCGGCTCACTGCAACCTCCGCCTCGAAGGTTCAAGTGATTCTCTTGCCTCAGCCTCTCGAGTAGCTGAGATTACAGGCTGCCACAACCACGCCCAGCTAAAACCCGACGGGGTTTCACCGTGTTGAGCAGCCTGGTCTTGAGTGATCCGCTCGCCTCGGGATCCAAAGTGCTGTATTACAGGCGTGAGCCGCTGCGCCCGGCCAAACCCAGCATTGTTTTAAAGGCAAAGTGCAATAGTAGCAAACATAAGCCTCTTGAATCAGATATATGTGTTTAAATTCAAACTCCATCACTTCCGAAAGTAAAATGTATGGTGTTTTATTTTATTTAGATCATTTGTGAAACTTTTCTTCATCTGCAAATGTAGGGAAAACTCTTCAAAATTCTTTGGGTATTGTAAGGGCGCAGTGGCTCACGCCTGTAATTCCAGCACTTTGGGAGGCCGAGGCGGGAGAATTACCTGAGGTCAGGAGTTCGAGACCAGCTTAGTCAATGTGGTGAAACCTTGTCTCCACAAAATTACAAAAATTAACCAGGCATGGTGGCGTGCGCCTGTAATCTCAGCTAGCCTACTTGGGAGGCTGAGGCAGGAGAATCACATCCGGGAGGCAGAGGCAACAGTGAGCCGAGATCGCGCCATTGCACTCCAGCCTGGGCTACAGGGCAAGACTACGTCTCAAAAAAAAAAATTTTTTTTTGTTTTAAATCCTTTGGGGCCTGGGCGCGGTGGCTCACACCTGTAATCCCAGCACTTTGGGGGGCCGAGGCGGGCGAATCACGAGGTCAGGAGATCGAGACCACGGTGAAACCCTGTCTCTACAAAAAAAAAAAAAAAAAAAAAAAAAAAAAAAAAAAAAATTAGCCAGGCGCGGTGGCGGGCGCCTGTAGTCCCAGCTACTCGGAAGGTTGAGGCAGGAGAATGGCGTGAACCCCGGAGGCGGAGTTTGCAGTAAGCCAAGATCGCACCACTGCACTCCAGCCTGGGCTACAGAGCGAGACTCCGTTAAAAAAAAAAAAAAAAAAAATCCTTTAGGGATTAAAAATAATTTACGTAAATACTTTCCCTAGCAAACCATGTCTCTTGAGCAGTTGCTCAAGAGAGCATTCAGCTTCGTATTTCTATTTGCTGCCTCTGGCATTTTTACCGATTTGCAACAACTCAAATTCTCTGCTGTATCGCCATTTCTGGACCAAGGAGTCCTACCTTCCAAACACTTTAGAAAATGTGCTCGGAGTCCCTTTTTCTCTGACAATTAAAATATTTCAAACTTATACCTCACACCCCATCATGTGCTCGTCATCCAGCACTTGACATCCCCGTCAGGACTTCTTTCTTCCTCTTTTGAACCCCCGAAATGTTCTGGTGTTATCAGCCACAAGGAAAACCGAAAACCTGACTTTCATACAAATATAACATGAATGTAGTGTTTAAGATTTCATATATCTCGCTAATTACTAAGTAAATTGGGAAAACCCCTTAAAAGATGAATTTGAAGAACCAACAACACACATTAGAAAGGCTGAAAATTGTATCTCAACTGAGTAAAATCTTAGGGTTAATGTAGACATGAATCACTTGAATTATTATCACTTTTCTATAACTTAACTTCTACCATCACAGAGCTTAGCCTAGTGAATAGAAAGTCAAAGGTGCATAGCTCTAAAAAAATCAGATACTTGCTAGAGGGTCTGCCAGACAACGCCAAGCACATCACTGAAAGGAAGGACCCAGTAATTTTTGTTGTCGATTTTTAAGTCTGACAATTCTTTCTGACACATATGACACCTTATAAAAGTTGCTTCAAAGTAAACATGGGAGAGTGTTAAAGGAGATGGAGTCTTGTTGTTTGTTTGTTTGTTTGTTTTGAGGTTATTTAGTTCTGACCTTAGTCTTCAGTTTGTCCATTTATACAACTGGGTGTGTATATATTTAATTTTAACGTTGTGGTCAGGCGGAACATTTAAAAATCTTTTATGTTTTCCTTGGTTTACATTCTTTCTAATGGACTCTTTATATTTCCAACGTGAATAAAAATGAATGTATTATTTTACTTTTGTTCTGAATCTTTCTTCTATATCTCCCTACTTGATTATTTTTACTTAAAATATCAGATGTATTTTGTGGTGTGAAGGGACTCCAAAATCAGCAAGGTCCGAATAAAGAATTTATTTTCTTTTTTTTTTGTTTTGTTTTGTTTTTTGAGACGGAGTCTTGCTCTGTCGCCCGGGCTGGAATGCAGTGGTGCCATCTCGGCTCACGGCAAGCTCCACCTCCCGGGTCCACACCATTCTCCTGCCTCAGCCTCCCGAGTAGCTGGGACTACAGGTGTCCGCCACCACGCCTGGGTATTTTTTTTTGTATTTTTAGTAGCGAGGGGTTTCACCGTGTTAGCCAGGGTGGTCTCCATCTCCCGACCTCGTGATCCGCCCGTCTCCGCACCCGGCCCCGACTAAGGTATTTCTTAGGCTCAATACAATGTGCCAGTCAGTTGAGATGGTCAAAATCTAGCAGACCAGAGATATTCTCAAGGTTATTAAAGACCCCAGAATTTGATTCAAGTAACTAACTCCGTATTAATCTCTTCGGGGAAATGTTTGAAGCTTTCACTTGTAAAGATGTCTTTTAGGATAGAGAGCAGTATCAATATATTTTCTACAAACTCTATCAATGTACTTGAAAGAAGTCATTTTAAGAGCTCCTGAAGAGACCCTTTATACCATAAAAATGGTAGTTTGTGATGACACCTGTCTGCGCAAAAGTCACATAATTGTCTTGTAAGCTAGGGGTCAGTGGAATAAAATATCTGATGCCCACTGGCACCCAAATCCTATGAAATCAGTTTGTCTAGTGGGGGTAGAAGCCTACAAAAATTGGTACAGTTAGCCCTCCATGTCTGTGGGTTTTACATCTGTTAATTAAACCAATTGTGGATCAAAAATATATATATTTTTAAAAAAGGATGGTTGCATCTATACTAAACATTACAGATTCTTATATTCTTGTCATTTTTCCTAATCAATACAGTTTAACAATTATTTACATAGCATGTACCTTGTATTTTAGGTATTATAAGTAATCTAGAGATAATTTAATGTATACAGGAGGTTGTGCGTAGGTCATATGCAAATACTACTCCATTTTACATAAGGAACTTGAGCGTGCATGGATTCTGGTATCCGTGGGAGATCCTAAATTAATCTCCCACAGATACCAAGGTACGACTCTAGTTTTAAAGATCCTGAAGTGTGATTCTAATGTGCAAAGTTTGAGAACCACTGTTCTAGGCCATTTCCGTATCATTGGTTACTCTATTTTTTAAAAAAATGTAGAATGCTTCACAAATTTGTATGTCATCCTGCACAGGGGCCATGCTAATCTTCTCTGTATAGTTCCAATTTTTGTATATGTGCTGTCAAAGTGAACACAACTCTAATTGTTGCTTGCTTACATACAGTTTTTCATTATATATAAACAATCAAAGCCAATTTTTATAGTGTGAAGAAAACCCCTTATCATATAGTATAAGTCATATTTAACGCTACCCTCAAACAACGACTAAAGTAACTGTGTTTCTTCCCTAACAACAAGAATGCCAAAATGGGACGGGTGCAGTGGCTCACTCTTGTAATCCCAGCACTTTGGGAGGCAGAGGTGGGCGGATCACCTGAGGTCAGAAGTTTGAGACCAGTCTGGCCAACATGGTGAAACCCCGTCTCCACCAAAAATATTTTAAAAATTAGCCGGGCGTGGTGGCAGGTGCCTGTGATCCCAGCTACTCAGGAGGCTGAGGCAGGAGAATCGCATGAACCCGGGAGGCAGAGGTTGCAGTGAGCCAAGATTGCACCATTGCACTCCAGCCTGGGTGACAGAGCCAGACTCTGTCTCAAAATAAAAATAAAAATATATTTTAAAAAAGGAATACCAAAATGTACAGTGAAGATAGTGTTTTAAATCTTGCCCTGGCACTGTGGCTCACGCCTGTAATCCCAACATTTTGGGAAGCCGAGGTGGGCAGATCACCTGAGGTCAGCAGTTCGAGACCAGCCTGGCCAATATGGTGAAACCCCATCTCTATCAAAAATACAAAAATTGGCCGGGCGCGGTGGCTCAAGCCTGTAATCCCAGCACTTTGGGAGGCCGAGACGGGCGGATCACGAGGTCAGGAGATCGAGACCATCCTGGCTAACACGGTGAAACCCCGTCTCTACTAAAAATACAAAAAACTAGCCGGGCGAGGTGGCGGGCACCTGTAGTCCCAGCTACTCCGGAGGCTGGGGCAGGAGAATGGCATAAACCCGGGAGGCGGAGCTTGCAGTGAGCTGAGATCCGGCCACTGCAGTCCAGCCCGGGCTACAGAGGAAGACAACGTCTCACAGGTGTGAGCAAAAAAAAAAAAAAAAATTAGCTGGGTGTGGTAGTAGGCGCCTGTAATCCCAGCTACTCAGGAGGCTGAGGCAGGAGAATCGCTTGAACCGGGGAGGAAGAGGTTGAAGTGAGCCGAGATCGCACCAATGCACTCCAGCCTGGGCGATAAGAGCAAAACTCCATCTCAAAAACAGACAAACAAAAAAAGCAAAAACAACACCACCACCAAAGCTTATAAAAATGTGAATATTTTGATTGGCATCTTTCATAGCTCAAATTTATTAAATTATGTGTTATTTATATATAAAAAGCAAAACACATGGTGTTGGTGTTAAGGAAAACATTATTTATGGCAATTGTTAAAGATAGTAAGGAAAACTTTACTATAAGGGGATTTTGCAGTAGGTGAGAGAGACTGGACTCAACTTTGCATATAACAATGAAAAGTGGGAATTTATAGCCAAGGATCAGGGTGGGGAGATGAGGTCAGTGGATGGAAAATTACTGAAAGGAAACATCACAGGTAAGGGGGTTTCTGGTTAACCTGGCCTGATAGAATTCTTGAAGGCAGGCCAAGGAGATGATATCACTGGAGCATGGTGGAGAATGAGGATCCTGATCAGATATGAATGATGATCAGATAATAGAGGATGAGGGATTCTGGCTAAACTGACTTAGCACGATTATTGTTAAAAGTGGGCAATGCAGAGCTACAAACATGTAAGTTCAAAAGTCGGGGCCTTAGTTGAGAAGAGCCTTCAGAGGAACCTGACTAGAGTTTGGTCATGAAGAAATCTTTGTCACTGCTCAAAAAAAGTCTGATAAGTAATTAAATTATTAGAGGTTATTTGATATATTATCTAAATGTGTTAGTAATTTAAATGATTTGACATCTTTTCTGACTTGAATTTTATAAAATTTAGATAATGTAAAAATAGAAACTTACAGCAATGTTAAGCATTGGGGTTTCAAAATGAAGCCTCCAAATTCTTACCTTGAGGACTCCAAGCTCCACCTTTATTTTTATTTTTATTTTTTTTGGAGTCTCGCTCTGTCGCCCAGCCTGGAGTGCAGTAGCACGACTTGGCACACTGCAACCTCTGCCTCCCGGTTTCAAGCAGTTCTCCTGCCTCAGCTTGCCGAGTAGCTGAGATTACAGGCATGCGCCAGCACGCCTGGCTAACTTTTTTGTGTTTTTAGTAGAGACGAGGTTTCACCATATTGGTCAGGCTGGTCTCGAACTCCTGACCTCGCGATCCATCCGCCTCAACCTCCCACAGTGCTGGGATTATAGATGTGAGCCACCGTGCCGGGCCACCAGGGTCTGATTTTTCAAGTGTGAAAACAAGATAGTAAAGAAGCCTGAGGGGAGCCCAGCAAAGAGAACCAAACATCGCTGAAATTTGGGAAGCAGGACCAGCTATATAATTTGTAGGGCCCAGTGAAAAATTAAAATGAGGGAGCCCTGGTTCAAAAAGCAGGGAGACAATGCTGTTGTAATTATTAATATATACTGATATGGGTGTGAGCTACAGGCTCACTGCCACCAAGACGCCCTCCCAACTCACCTGGGCACTGCCAGGCTGCCAGCCAGTGTCAGGAATGACAGCCATTATGCCACACCCCAGAAACCCCGGGATTAGGCTGCAGGAACTTAATCCCTCTTCTGTAGACCCCCTAGGGGGCTTTACTGCTGGAGGCAGGTGGGGAAGAGGGGTCGGGAAAGAGAGTGGGGAAGGATGTCAGTTAGCAGGGCTAATTCGCTTCTGAAAACCCATCGAGGGGAGGCAGAGCTCTTGGGAGCCAACTCTTGGGCAGAACTCTTGGGAGTCAACTGACCCCCATGCCTAAGCTTGCTACATTGTCATGTTGGCTATAGCTTACAAAACACAAGTTTAAGGATAAAACTATTGAGAACTTCAAGAGAGCCATTACAAAACGTTAAACCCCAAGAGTAGGGCTGAGTGTGTAGGAGTGCTCGGGGGGATGGTGGTAAGTTGTACGACTCCATAGATCTCAGGCCTGTGAAGCCCATCCCACTGGGGAGCTTAAATTTTACTCAGGATCTTTAAAATGGCTTTGCGCAATTCCTTGGCTGGAAGAACCAAGACTGACAAAAACGGGTCCACAGACACACCTAGAACGCGATCTGAGCCTCAGTTTTCCGATCCAGTGTCCAAAGGCCAAGTGGTCAACACACACACGCTCTTCTTATAGTTAGGAATACTCATTACAATCTTTGTGAAAAAAGTTTCATTGTAGTGGGGGACACAGAAAACTGAATCTTCTTTGAGTTGGCATGTCGTCTCCACGTCTCCCTCAATTCCGCGAGCAAAGATTTTCGGAAGTACATGCATTTCCTTCTCTTCGGTTCGCTGCATCTTCAGTTTCTCCTTAGTCTCTCCAACCTGGCCGAGGACAGGGCCTCACGACCACACAGTGCCCCTGCCTTACCAGGGATACGGAGGAGCCAAGGTGTTCCAAATTACAGACAGTGTGTGCACTATAGAAGGCGCGGAAAACAAACAAACAAACAAACAAGCAAACAAACAAACCCTGAGTTCTAATTCCAACCCTAGAAGTCAGTGTATGAGAGAGCCTAATGGGTTGAATGTCAAGTTCCTGAGAACGGCTTTCAATAGCTTTTCTTAAGTTGCAAAGGAGCAAACAACAAGTCCTAGGTGACTATGTTGAGAAGGAAACGTGAGACAACTCGAGGATGAAAGGCAGACTAGAGAAAATAAATAGATAAAGAAGAAAAAAATATATTGACACAACTGGACAGCGGTATTAGATGTATAAGTTACTTGGATAAAAGACACAACAGTCTACAGGGGCAGCAGAGTGGCGCAGCGGAAGCGTGCTGGGCCCATAACCCAGAGGTCGATGGATCGAAACCATCCTCTGCTAACTCCACGTTTTTTCCTCCAAAACGTTGGATCTGGCACTCGTCAGAGGTGCTTTAACACCTGCCATGAGTGATTGAAGACCTACTGTGACTGAGGGAGTAAGCTCTGTTTTAACTGCCTGGTCCTTTCTGAAACCTAGTGATCCACTTTGAAAGATCAGAAGCACAGGCGGAGAAATGAGTGAATCTGCAAATGGGAGGTCTGAAAAATAAGGTGGTAGAGGAGCAGAGATTGGTGTGGAGAAGAAGGGAAAGACTGAGGAAGAGGTGAAGAAAAAGAGCAAAAAATGAAGACTAGGTTGGGCGACCGGGAAAAAGATATTACAAAACTCTTGGAGAAGTGGATTTTGAAGGAGGTAATTCCCCAGACAGAAGCGGGTGTCACATGTATGTTGCTCTGGCATTACGATTTCAGGAAACCTCATCTCTGAAGAGCTAGGAAAACACCGGAGGAAACAACGGGAATTGAACTACTTCCCTTGTGCCATAACTTAATCTTTCTTTACCCAAATGTTTTATTCGTCTGAAATTTCTTCCCACTTATTGAAGTCATTGTTGAAATGCGTACTTTCTGCCTCCAACCTTCTGGTAAGCTGATGAAGAAGCCCGAGAGTCCGCTCTAAAGCGCCTTTACCAGCCAGCTACGATCTCTAAGGGCTCCTGTGTGCAGTAATGAGTTGCACACGGTAGTGGGAATATTCACTACCGAAGGGGTCCCACTCTATTCTGAGCCCGATTTTCTTCATTTCCCCTATAATAAATACTACACAATAATTTCATATTTAACGCATGAACAGTTTGAGGGTTAAATGAATGCTCAATATAATAAAGCTTGGCTGCAGTGCTGAGGCACCGGTATATGACCAGAACGCTTGGAAGACCCAAGTAATTACCGAAATCATGAGCCTTATTAGCACTTCCTAGTGCAGTGGAGATACCAGCGGAGAGCCTGGATAGCTCAGTCGGTAGAGCATCAGACTTTTAATCTGAGGGTCCAGGGTTCAAGTCCCTGTTCAGGCGAAAATTACTAGTTTTACTTCAGTTAGGTCTAAATCCCAGCCCATTTGGGAACGTCTTGTGAGGAGAAGGAAATTATCACAAAGGCTGAAACAGACAAAGGCATCACTTTCTTCTTTAAATTATCCTTTCCCA